CCAAGTTTACATTTCAGGGTCCTGAATACTTACTCGTGTCTTCATGGAATAGTCTCAGTCTCGAACGAAAGTATACCCCAAATATCGCGTTATTCAAGCATTCTCTGAAATCCGAACTATTTTCTGGTTCGTTATCTACTACCACCCTAAAGTTAGAAAGAAAGAATGAAAAATATCTAAACCGTGCGCGTGTAGATCTATTGTTCAAATCTCAATTATATAACCACAACTGGGACTCGGTAAATTCTCCGAACTGCTCTTGTGGGAAACCTGAGACTATACGCCATTTTTTCTTCCAGTGCCCACGGAGGCAGTTGAAGTATCGTGATTTTCATTTGTCTATTCAGAATGTCCTGGGCGCTAACAATACAAATTTTAGAACGCAGCTTGATAAGATTTCTTTGTTTCTACACGGCCACAAAACTTTAACAACTGGACAGAATGATAAAATATTCGATATTGTCTCGACGTTTTTAATTGATAATGCTTAATTGCTTTTATAAGTTCACCCTCCCGACCCTCCTTCTCTTGATCAACTAATATATCACTTCCCGCATATATCGCCCGTGCCTTTCCCTGTAGTGCCCTTCCCTGTTGCTCTCCTTTACAACAATAAGTACTATTTAGTGTTATCATAACTATAATCATATTTAAGTAATTTTGTTACTAGAATTACATTAACGCAAGCGAGCCCATAATGCTGTGGCGACGTGCCGCCTGCTCTGAATGTATTTTTTTTTTTATATCTTGATTGTAGAAATAAATCTGTTTAAAAAAAAAAAAAAGTTTTACAGAGTTATGCCTAGACTGATATACCAACATAGGTGGCCACACTGAATGTATCGAAATCTTACCACCAGGGCACAGACCTCACTCTCCTTCCAGGTATGCATCAGCAACTAAACAAAAAACACCCAGTCCGTTCAAAATGAGGGTCAAATTGCCACCAGAACGCGTTTTTCAAGGCTCTTAGCGAACACCAAACTGGTTTTAGCAGGTTAGAATACCAACGACCTCTGAAAAGGCCACTGTAAACAGCAAAACATCGTCGCATGTTTCTTTAATGAATTGGGGACCGTGGCCGTTTCTAGGAAGGACACCGAAACCGCGTGGCTTTCCTTAGTGAGGTCAGATTTCACCTGAAGCAATCGAATAGTCGGAACAGAGTTTACAGACATCCTGAAAAGACCCATTTTCTTCATTGACTATTGCATTAACAATAAAACACGATCAATTTTTGCAAAGTAAATGAGATATAAAAGCTTTGCGATCCCCGCTTTGTATGCCAGGTCAGCACTGTGTGCAAAAACCGGAGCTCAATAAGCGTTGTTATACGGGCCCCATATCTCGAAAGCATCGCGTATTGCGAATCGCTATATCAAATAGAGGCTACAATGTATTATATGGGACGAGTATGGGCGAGTTATGGAATCGAGACGCTTGCGCACGTGCGCAAAATAGCGAACCTTTCGAGATACGGAGCCCAGGGTTACTATTTAATATGGAATATTTTTTATCATTGTTATTTTTGAGTGTTGATTAAATTTTTTGAGGCTTGATTCATCAAAAAAGTATGTCATTGAGTGATAAAAAATCCAGTCTTTAGTTGTGAGACATTTTGGTCAATAATATCAAATCTGACATAAGATGTCATTCAAAAGAAAAGAACGCCCCCAGAAAACCATACTAACATTTTGATGTTAGTATTAATTTAAAGTTAAGATATTAAAGAAAAGTATAGCCTACGGACACTGATATGTTACACAGTCAAAGAAATAATTACAGTTAATCATGAAAAGTCATCATCAGCCGGTATGGCCTCCAGCAGCCGCTTGCATGGCATACCCTGTGACAAGTTTTTTAGAGTTTGGATGGGGATATCATTCCACGCATTGTTATTTGCCTGTCGCAGTTAATCACTATTTGCCGGCCGATGACCATAGCTATTAATTCTGTGAGTTACTTCCGCCAACAAATTTTCAGTTGGGTTCATATCTGGGGAGTTTGCAGGCCAGGGCAGTTGCTAAACCCATTGGATTCGAAGAAAAGCAGTGATTCTTAGAGCTCGATGTGAGTGTACTAGTATTGGTACACAAAATTGTTCCTGAAGATGGCTCTTACAGATTGAAGCATTGTTTGCTGTACAATTTCTCTGTAGGAACCCTGGTTGAGGTTGCCTCCTAGAAAAACCAAATGGTTCTGGGGCCGGTTTCACAAAGCAGTAGTTAGTTATAACAACTAACTACTGAACTACCTCGCTAACGAGCAAACTTAGCGATTTTCGAGGGGTGTTTCACGAAGCAGTCGTTAACTCATCGCTAAGTTCAGTCGTAAAGTTCGGTCGTTAGTTCTCTCGTTACTCACCGTAGTCTCGAAACCGTCTGCCGGAAGTAGAACTCTTGCGTAAAAGTGTCACGAAAGCACTAACTCTCCAATTTTTGGTGGCTGGAAATGCATAAGAACGTCTGCTTTGAGGTCGTCGTAAAGGATCTCCACCACCTTTTTGCGGCTCTTTTTGTCACAGCTAGGCGCAACCTCTCGTAAATTGCATCATCGTGTGTATATTCTAATAGATTCTGCCTTTCATGAAAACGTCGTAGTCTACGTTGCCGTCTGGCGGTACGGATAGCAAGAAAAGTAGCCGCCATATTGGATACAAAGACAAACGACAGACAACGGTAACTAAGCAACCTTTTTATTTCACTCATTACGCATGCGTACGATGAAACTCTAGAGTTAGCGACTGGTCTGACCAGTCGTTAAATATCCAAGGCAACAACGAGACAATAACGAGCGAGAGAACTAGCGACTGCTTCGTGAAACGGCACTATAACTAGCGATAGGCTAACTACCGATCGCTAACTAACTACTGCTTTGTGAAACCGGCCCCTGGGCACCGGCATGAAGCGTTCCCCAAACAGAGACGTTACCACCCCCTGCTTGCACCCTAGGCAGTACACAATCATCGTTTAATGCCTCTCGTACATGTCGGCGGACAGGTATTCGACCGTCAACCCTAAAAACTCCATATCTGGCCTAATCACCGAAAACGACATGATTCCAGTGTTTTGACTGCAAACGCACTTGGTCCCCAGCCCATTGCAGGCATCGCTGTATATGACCTGCTGTTAACAGTGGTTGCCCTACAGGTCCTCGTGCAAAATACCCGGTTTGCAGTAATCTCTTGTTCACGAGGGACCTTGAAACGGACGTTTGAAACATTCTGCCATTCTTTTCTCAGGACACTGGTTGTTTTTGTACGACCAGCACGGCGCACTCTAAGGATAAGGCTATCCTGTCTTCTTGGTGTGATATGCGGACACCTGGTCGAGGTATTGGAGTAGGTGCCCCTGTTGTAGCATTTCTTTGGAGGAGTTTACTAACAGTTCCTGATAAACGTTGCATTGCTTGGCAATGGCTGTCCGTTTCTGGCCATTTTCTCTGAGAGGAAGCATTCCATAGTAAGCTGCGTTGCTTAGCTGTCGAACCATATCTTCTCTAAGGAACCTGTCAACTTCAGAGCGAACCCTTTGTTGCTTCTCTAAATACGCTCCAGATTGGTCAAACCCATGCTTTTATATACAAGGGCAGAAATTGCCGAAAAGACCACCCCTCACTTTTCTGACCACAGAACATGCAACTGCATGCATCAATTGTTTCGAGAGTTGTGTGGTAATTAGGTAACACACCTGGCTACACATGGAGTGACACCTCAGTTTTGGATTTAAAGTAGTTGGAGAGAAAATAAATATTTTGTAGAAAATTTACTCACCCAAAAATAATATTCCATATTAAGTAGTAACCCTGTAGCTGCGGTTGTTTACATTACCCCACAGACAGGACATATGTCTGAAAGGAATACATAACCTTGGATGGGAGTTTTTTTTAACATGAGTTTTGCTCTGAGGCACGTTGCCTTAATTTTACTTTTCTTGTAAAATGGATCTTCTTCTGCAGCACTTCATCGTANAAGGAATACATAACCTTGGATGGGAGTTTTTTTTTAACATGAGTTTTGCTCTGAGGCACGTTGCCTTAATTTTACTTTTCTTGTAAAATGGATCTTCTTCTGCAGCACTTCATCGTAGCTTTGTTTTTGTTTTGTTTCTTTTTCTCGGGGGGTGGGTGGCTGTGGGTGGTTAAGACCTGCTCTAAATTGATTTAAAGCTGTGTAATTATTAGACAGTTAGCGCAGGTCCCTACACCCGACAAACGTCCTATCAAACTGATGTATTTTATGGCTGTTACACATGTATGGTATAGTGGGTAGATAATGGCTCCTTTAAGCTGCCTCAGAAGCACGTAAAGTTATCTGGCTTAGACCTGAGCATACTTTTATTTTACATGATCAGCCCACGCCAGGCGAGGGAAGTGGAAACCAAGAGGCTTTAAGAATCCTATTTTTAATGCTATCTAATGTAAAGCTCCGTCTTGTTTTCAAAATAATAATAATAACAACAACAACAACAACATCTGGTATCACACCGATGACACTATTCAAATAGTTAGGCCTACTTTTAATAAAATAAACTACTCCCCTTGTTAACATTCGATTTTTCGTAGATACTGATTTTTTTGCTTGGTTTCTTGATAGCAAAGTAACATGTAACAATGATATTTACCGGTCAAAGACAGACGAAGGCAACCTTGTAGATCACGGCGTTAATGGCGGAGGACACGTCAGCCGTGTGATCTTCTTTGTCGTTTTGTTAAGTGACCTCGTTTTATATGTTTGGATGAAGCGCCCTCTCTCGGGACGAAATGCTTCGTTTTAGCCTGACATAAGAGAACTTACTCCAAACTCATTATCACCAGGTAGGCTTTCAACATTGGCACAGCTCTGTTCTGTAATTGTGCCATCAAGGTGTCAACCCAAAATTATTTCACACAGAACATTATCACACAGGTGAACATCAATTAAAGAATCCTTCCCTGCACTAATTGTCTCAGCAAAAATATCCATATAATAATAACCACGGCTCTGGTAGAGGGGAGGTGTCCCTGTGTGAAAAGTGATGGATACAATACGAGTCGCCTGGCTGTACGTGAAGTATTACTAGGGTATTGACATTACTTATTGTATATTTGTGATGATGGGGTATTGTTGAAAGTTCCATAACGTATGTTGCTATAAGTTGACAGGTTTTAGATCTAATGCGGTACACCTTTCTAGCAGCACATCTCATATTTTCATAAACATTTCTTTTACGTCGTTTTGCAAAACGGAAAAAATAACATCTAATAGTCGTTATTTTTGCAATGAATTTTTACTTCCAAATCGCTTACAGTCAAGTTTTCGTTTTTACTTTCTTTGCATATTTGTAAACTGTTGGGAGGTCATTGTTTATGCTAATTTATGCTAAGAAAAACATTCTAATGTACATGTATGGACAAACAGCAACCACAAACAGGTACGTTTTAAATTTCAATTCTTGAAAGAAAAAAAGAACACGTTTTATTTACACAATGGTACAGTCTGCGGATATTCTAGTTGGATGCTGTGCAAAAGGTATTATTGCTAGTTAATATTGCGACTATCTGTTGTACATATGTTACAGGTGGGACAGGAAAACATACCTGCATGTGAATGTTTTCATCTAAACGATAACATTAGTACTGTTATCAGTCCGCAGTTCAACTTCCAATATCATGATAAATAAATACACCGAAGAATGTCACAGCAGCAGACTACGCACAGATATACATGAACATATTTTCATTACGTCAAAAGGAATCATAACACGCTATGAGTAACAATGTCAGTGGTGCTTCTTGATAAGTCTTAGAAGTTCTCGTAGAAGAAGTATGGGCTCTGAATCGTCAGCCTGCGCAGTTGTCAGTTGGGATGCCACTGTTGTCCGAGTGATTGCCGGTGATGTAGAGTTTGATGAAGGCCCGGAGGTAGTCGGAGGCGTAGATAGGCCGGAAGTCGGGGGCTTGGTAGCGCCAGACGTCTGGGGGCTGGTAGCGCCAGAAGTCTGGGGCTTGGTAGCGGCAGATGTCTGGGGCTTGGTAGCGCCAGATGTCTGGGGGCTGGTAGCGCCAGAAGTCGGAGGACTGGTAGCGCCAGAAGTCGGAGGATTGGTAGCGCCAGAAGTCTGGGGGCTGGTGACGCCAGAAGTCTGGGGGCTGGTGACGCCAGAAGTCTGGGCCTTGGTAGACCCTCCGGTCGACTGAGTGACCCCGTTTGTATTTGAGTAACCCGTGGAGACAGTCGTCAAACTGGTGCCCGCTGTTCCTGTAGTTCCCTGAACTTCTTGGCGTAATAGCACCACTCCGTAATGACTGGACATGGGGTCTTCGCCATCAAATATTCTGACAGGATACATCTGAAATAAAAAACAGACGGGGAAGGAAATTATACGCCATAAGATGTTAATTTCTGTTATCCTAAATTTTAAGCAATTTCATATTGTTAACTGTTATGGATCAGGTACAAGATTCGTTTTAACTGTTTCTGATTTATGAAAGGGGTGTTAATAAGAAACCAAGCACGGAGTCCGCCCTTCATTATATTGATGTTCGGGTTACCTATAGAAATCAATAAAAGCATACCCTGAATCATTTTACTTTCGTCTATGATCCAGGAGTGACATGAATGGTAGTCCATGAGGAACTGTAGTCCGTTCCCAATTACTGTGACATTTGTCCCATACAATAACCCTTATACCCCGACTATCCCTAGACCGAGTTATTATATGGGACCACATACTTCCATTCCCTGGGTTACCAGTCCTGGCACATTGGTCCAGGTTAAATAGATTTGTTTACTTAAAACTAGGACGAATAAAACGAAACAAAGCAGGCATTGCTCTCCCCCCCCCCTCCCCTCCCCCCCCCGTTCCGGGCAAAGTAGATTATGCAGATGTAAAATCGTATACGTACAAAAACATATCTATGTCACATTTCTTAGTATAAGGAGAACGATACCTCTTGTGTAATAACACCTCGCATACATTTGGGGACAAGTATATGATCAATAATACTGTCACGGCGTGCTGACGTCAGAGGGTTATCAACACACCACGTGCAAGACGGCACAGATTCGACGAACGGCGAGAAGTAATTTCGTGTCAATACGTCATAGCACAGTGGTTTGACGGCCTTTATCCCCTCCGACGGCACCTTAGGACCGCTGTTGAAGTCGCCCAACAATATGGATCGGTGCAAGACGGGAAGAGCTTCATTTAGTAGTACAGCCAGTTCATAGAGATTCTGCTCATGGTAAGATTTAAATGGACCAACTGTAAGAGAGATATGATAGTAATGTGAATAACGAGTTCATGGTTTTCTTGGACGACTTCTGTGGAAAAAAAGGAAAGAAAAAATGCTGTTAATGCCGTGAATATGTAAGTAGCCTCTGATTGCTTTGAATCTGGCGGCACCCCAAAAAATAGAGACAAAAATCTAAACATTTTAAAGATATAATACACATCAAAATGACGCACAATAGGACCTAAGCTTTAAAAATAACCCGGTACCGGTTCCTCCAGTGAAAAATCTCTTTACGTGGTACCGGGCAGTTTTAAGTTAAAACTGGTAAAAACGTGTCTAGTTCATTTAAATTTTTTACACTTACCATCCATGTAATAGCCTTTGTTCATTGTTGCCGCCAAATGGGTACAAAACACATGGACTCCACTAACCTAGGATACGAAAATATATGGATCTTATAATATATGTGCCAGGAAAAAGTGTTCAGTATTGGTATTTTATTGGAATGAATTTGTATCATTGTAGCTGCTGGCTCATCTTTATAAAACCCACAGCTCGACTGTTTACAATGATAGGAGTAAACTTGTTTTTGTCGTTTGTTTTTTATCAAAAATTGTGTATACAAAAAATCCAATATCTAAATTAGATTGCAACCATATGCGTACCGGTTATAATGATATAAATTATATATAGATTATATAATGTCACTTTTTGTCGTTCTTCTCTTAAACCTTAACACGTATTACAATCATCATCCATTTGTATCACGGTTTATTAAAGTAAATTAAGTCAATTTGATAATTTCACAAAACACCTACCTTTGCGCGGATGTAGGCCCGCGGTATAAACAAAGAGTATCCCTCGTGGTAACTTACTACCTCAGCAACCTCTATCGGCTGTTTGCTGAGTAATAGCAGACCGTAAGTAGTCGTATACGGCGAGGACATGCAGAGCTCTTCGAATGGGAATAACTGATCATCGTCGTCGTCGCTGCCGCTGTGGCGCTGTAGAATACAGGAAAGACAGTCTTGTGGAAGGGCCCGGAGCTCATCGTCGCAACGTTTTATGAGGCAGAAACGAGACTTACTTCTGCATTTGTATCTCAAGCAAGATAGCACGTCCCCCACCTGTAAATTTATAGGAAAGCTTTACATAAATTATTCCTTAACATACTATACTGCAGTATAGGGCAACATATATACTCTCAGTATGTGGAAATATACATTTCTGGCTAAAAATATTAATATCTACATCAGCGAGATTTAGTTAGCCCGATCTACAATGTCCATTCTTGGGTTTCACATTGATTAGAGATCTATCACCGCTTAACGTGTTTGCACAACATTTTACCGTCTTATTTGTATCTCAATTAACTGATGCGTTCATTTCCATCACTATATATATATATATTACAATTATAATCACATCTGGTAAAATACAAGAATAAAAAGTAACGACACATACTTCGTTTGCTCCACAAGCTGGTGCTGTGATAGTTTGATCAATATCCGGGAGCGAGGAGTTTCCGCCTGATGTCTGGCCCAGAACGCTGACGGAGTACGGGAACTCTTCCTGTGCCACGGAAACTATTTCTCTGATATCGTCTTCCAACCAAATCTCTTGCAAGCAGACGACTTCTCCCGGAAGGTCGCCATTTTGGATTGTTTCTAGAAATCTGGCCCGGCGTTGTTCGTAACTGTGTCAAAAAAAGGAAAGGTGAGAATGATAAATATGAATAACTGTGATACTGGACTTCTCATTTAGCAACTCATTGCGGGCTCACCCAGAGACTTTTCACGAGGAAAATGACCCGAATGTACTGGTCATTTGATTATTATTCTTATTCTACTGGATGGCTTACAACATTCACTCATTCGCAAGGTAAGAATATTACAGAGCTTGCTTCAGGTAGTTCGTATTATTTTGTAAGTAAGTAAGTTTATTAAGACATGGCAACCAAAAGGTTGAAGTTATACATAAAATGGAGTGAGAGTAACATATACAAATTTACAAATTAAAATAATTTGGAGCGAAAGTGTGTTGATCAATTAATTTTCTTGGTGCCATATACATTATTTTGCCTTTTACCTCGCCGAATGATGTGATCAATTTACAAGCGTAAATAAACAAAGGGATTTACATTGTCGTTCCTAAAAGATGACCTGCATGTAATATGAATATAAAACAAAATGCTCAGTCCTGAACAAAGAATTATAAGCATATATATATATATATATATATATATATATATATATATATATATATATATATATATATATAAGCATAAACAACATGAACTTACCCTTCAAGAGCTGTGGGATGAAGTTCAGCATTATACGTGACAGATTCTGGAACTTTGACCTGTGTAGTACACGGCTTAGTAGCGCCGGGGGAACCTGAGCCGCTGTATCCTGAAGAACCTGAGCCCCTGTAGCCGGACGAGCCTGAACCGCTGAAGCCGGACGAGCCTGAACCGCTGTAGCCGGACGAGCCTGAACCGCTGTAGCCGGACGAGCCTGAGCCACTGTAGCCGGACGAGCCTGAACCGCTGTGGCCGGACGAGCCTGAACCCTGGTTGCCGGATGAGCCTGAACCCTGGTTGCCGGATGAGCCTGAACCCTGGTTGCCGGATGAGCCTGAACCGCTGTTGCCTGACGAGCCTGAACCGCTGTGGCCGGACGAGCCTGGGCCCTGGTTGCCGGATGAGCCTGGACCCCTGCGGCCGGACGGCCCTGGACCCTTGTGGCCACCAGAGTCAAACCCTCGCAGATCAGTTGGATTTGCGCCACGTTGACCGACATGGTTGGTTTCGGCTGGTTTCATTAGTATCTTTTCTAGGGTTTTACTCAAGGCATTATCTGACATTTGGTTTATACTGTCTTCACCATCTTGCACTTCGGCTTGGTGCGCATCCGCGACTTTGCTTTCTCCCGAGACGAGAACACGCTCCCGTAGTGGCCAGACAGCGTAACCTTGAACGTTGAGGCTGAATTGAAACACACTTAAAAGTTACATTTATTGTGACGAAAATACAATATCTTTGGTAAGTAAACAGTACGTTTGACAGTCGAAGTCTCCCCGTCACGCCCAGTCTTCCCTGCCTCACCCCGCCACTTTCTTTTTCACGTCCACTCCTTAGCCCCGCTTCCCTAGCAATTACAGAATTACTATTTAGCAAAAGGATGGGCGGAAATACCATATGTTGCAAAATATTACACATTACAAAAACATGGCAATTTTAATAAATATCCCGAGCTCACCAGCGTTTACATCCCGTTATCAGTACATCTTTACAAGGATAATAACGAGTTTTTGCGAGGAATACAATGTACCTTTAAGAAATTTTCCATGCAAATGTAGTTAACTTTTGGTAGCTGACAATATCCATTACCTCACTTAGTGCACGTCATGCACATACGGAACGGCTTTATCTGCATTTAAATCTTTTGAAGTAGTTTTTTAGTAGGATATCCGACTTTTACCTACCTGACGCTTGATAACAGGACAGTAAGAGCTGCAACGCTCAGTACAGGTGCCATCCTTATCTAATACGTATTCACACTACGCCGACGCGAAGTCTGCTTCTATATTTCTCCCCTTTTTTCTTCTCTTGCGCTGAGAACGAGTTATGTATACGCGCCACCGGCTGACAAAACCTCACTGATCAAAAGCTCCACCAATCACAAAGCTCGAAGCCTGTCATGTGACCTCTATTGGACGTAGCAGTGAGCATTGATCTTGAACAGTTTTCGCGCGGTCACACCCTGTGTTTCCTAGTTTTTGAAGGGGTCAAAGGTGTCTAAGCATATGTCTGAATGATGTATTAGTACCTGAAACTCAGGGCGAAAAATCCGAAGCCACGCACTTTAT